TTGTGTGTGTGTGTGTGTGTGTGTGTGTGTGTGTGTGTGTTGTTTTGGATGTGTGTGGTGTATACTCATATTCATGTACATATGCACATACTACATGTGTATTTTTGTGTAGGCTCCAGATGGATCACAGGTATCACTCTTTGATCAGTCTGGACTTTAATTTTGAGATAGGGTCTCTCAATGAAATTGAAGCTCATTGATTTGGTTAGTTTGGTTGGTCAATAGATTCAGGAATCTACCTGCCTCTACTCTCTCTTCACCAACCTCCAAGGCTGGCACTGCCCCCTGGACTTGGACCCTGTCCCCTAATCCCTAAGAATGCTGTACATACAGGTTTGGTCTCTTTGATTTTTTGAGGTATTATTGTGATTTTAGACTACACTAAATGCTTTCCTTGTTTCTTGATGAAATCTACTTAATGTAAAAAGAACCTTTTATACTGTGAAACTTTGCAGTGTTTGGCTTGCTGACAGTGTTTTGGTAGGAGATATTTCTCAAGTGCTAAAAGTTCCAAGGACAGGTTCCAACCTGTGTTTAAACAGCTGTGGCTCCTTCCTTCCTTCTCTGTAAACTGGGGCTAACCTGGCATACTCCCAAGCTTTCAGCATGGTCTGGTCTGGATTTCCAGGTTTTGCCTCAGCTCTCCTGGCACAATTCCTATTTACCACATGGACTTCTGCAGCCTAAGGTACCAAGGAACCTTCCTGTTGCTCTTAACCCACTGTGTGACACAACAACACAGTCCCGTACATGCAAGGGAGCAGGTTCCCCTTAGCCCAGTCTCTCCTCTGCACCTTCATGGAAGAGCTGAGCTATCCCTACCTGCTGGACTATGTGGGCCTGGCCTCAGAGGACAAGCAGCTAGGAATGCAATCTAAGCCGTGATTGACTCTTGCTCTCCCTGGAGCTTCTCCACACTTGCTTTGGAACAGAAGACATTTATGTCCACTGTTGTATTGAACAGTCCTCCTGCCAACAACGTGGCAGGTAGAGTGGGGCCTACAGTTTTAGGACCACAGAATTAAATCTCAATGGCCACCAGGCTGCCCACAAGTCAACGGTTCCAACTCACTTAACTCCGTCCCTGAGTTAAAAATGTAGTAACAGATTTACAAGCATACAGGGGACAGAGGAGGTTGGAAGATGTTGCCACCTGTGGGAGCAGAGGGTCAAGGGCTCCAACAGAATGACAGTGCATGACTGTGTCTGCAGAGGAGGTCTTCAATTGCAGGGAGGAGGTTCAGGGCTGCGTTCCTGGGAGCCATTATTAGCTAGCTCCTCTAGAGAGAAGGAGGAACTTCAAGAAACTCCCAAGAAAGCTACAAAAGCTCATAAGAATGCCACAAGATGCATGTCCCTCACCAAGACTGTGTAAGCAGCAAACAACTTCTGGGGCAGAAATAGAATTTTTAATTAAAAATATTTTTATTATTTTATATGGATGGGTGTTCTGTCTGCACATGAATGCCTGGTGCCTGTAGAGGCCAGAAGAGGGAATTGGATTCCCAGGGACTGGTGTTACAGTTGGTTGTGAGCTGTTGTGTGGGTGCTGGGAATTGAACCCAGGTTCTATGGACGAGCAGTCAGTGCTCTAACTATTGAACTAGCTCTCCAGCCCAGAAGAAGAATTTAATGGTGTGACTTCAGTATGCTATGAGGGAATTCCCAGACTGAAGGTGAAGCTCATGAAACCCTAAGAAAGCTTAAAGACTTAGGTAGCCCATGTCAATAAATAAATAAATAAATAAATAAATAAATAAATAAATAACAAGGAGCCCATCTCTAATCTTACAGAAGAAGTTAGCAATTGCCAAGATGAACAGACTCTTCGGCAACACATTGATTCATCAGATAGCATGGATGGAATCATTTATTTCATCTGTCATGTTGCGGTATCTGGGGTAGGAAAAGAGTTACTTCATGTCTCCATGGGAAAGGTTTTACATCAGGAGCAGACACCCTCACCCTGATGTATCCATATCAATGAGGAGTTGGAGCTGACACTATTGTTCTCCAGTATCCAAGTCTCTCCCTCATCTCACTATGGAAGTGTGTCACCTTGATGCCCTTCTCTAAAGCAGCCTTATGGTACTCACTATCCAGAGCCCATGTATGTCCTACATGTTTAAGAGCATGTCCTTGCCATTGGAAATGCATTTCAAAGAACAGGGACCATTAGACCTTGCCTGGTGCCCATGGAGAAGAGAGAGCCAGCCCCTGACTGGAGTTAATGTAAGCCACCATGTGGGTACTGGGAATTGAACCCAGGTGCTCTGCAAGAACAGCCAATACTCTCACCCACTGAGCCATCTCTCTAGGCCCATTTCTCCATGTCTCTGGAGCTGCCCCTGGAAGACCTGATCTTACTGCATGAGGGGAGCAGGAGAGACTCGGGGAGGACATGTCCTACACCTCCCTGACACAGGGCTGTCTTGAGAGGCCTACAGTTGAGTATGAAGCTGATCTAGACTCAAGAGTCAACAAGTTACTTGATTTGCACAGTGGCCTGGGTGGAATGGACAGGAAGCAGAAGTGGATAACTGAGTTGCAAGCACAGAGAGGCTGGCCTGAAGAATGGGGTGGACCTCAAGAGGTGACAGTGGGTTTGTTGCAATGTAGTGAAAGGCAGAACATTGTGTGAGAGGCCCAGAGTAGGGTCCATAGCCCCAGGTGATAAATTACTTGGATTTGGAACCAGTCCATGTGGCTAAGAGACTTGAAGAAAATAACGGAACTGTGACAAGTTGGAAGGTTGACAGTCAACCATAAAATCCCTTGGAATCAAATGACAGGCTGAAGAGTAGCCCTGGTGCTTCCTACATGTCACACGTGATTGTATGAGAAAAACCTAGACAACTGTGTTCAGCCGGGCAGTTTGGGTTGGAGAAATGCAATGAAAGACTCCAGACGCCTATGGTGGTAGAGATGAAATAGCAAGCATCCTGACAGGCATTAGTATGGAGTCATATCCTATTCACCAGTGTATTGGAGATCTGTAGGATGGAATGATCAGGCCTCGGGCACCGACGTTTCTTGAGCCCCCAGTCCTTGAGATGCAGGATGTGTCTGGCCTCAGTTGCAAAAAGTGGTAGGAGTGAAATTGCTCTCCAGCCCCACTTCCTCTTTGTGGACTCACAACCCCCTCCCCCCCAACATGGCCTGCAGAGACGCACACTGGTCCATAGACTGAGGCTAGCCAGTGCTAGCAGGGACTACACAAGCTAGACAGGCCACTTAACCTACCCCCATTACACCATTGGTTATTGCCATCCCTCTGTAGGAATTTATTTAAAGGAAATAGAGCACTTCATTGCTCTAGTTTTTTACCTTCCATCAAAGAGACAGGAATACAATGAAGATGACAGAGACAATTTCATGATTTGTCCACTACAATATCAGGGTTGTTTTTTTTCCACAGCACAGTGAGCTGGAGGCTGACAGATACACAGAGGAAGACGGTCACAGCTCATGTTCCTGAGCAGAGGGGAGTGAGTATATGAAATGAATTAGAGAGAGATCCACAAGCCATGTGAGTCTGTTCATGAAGGATTCTCCTGTCTTCTGGAAGCCCATGCTGTAATAGAGGGTTACAGCACCTTGCTGCAAAAGGCTGGTCTCAAGGACAACATCGCTGTAGCCCTGGTCCCGTGCAAACTGGAGGACAGTTCTGACCAGTGCTTTCGCTATCCCCTGTCCTCGATGCTGTGAGGACACAGACAGGCGAAAGAGCTGTAGCTGCTTCCTCCCTAATGGAGGATTCTTGACTGGCAGACCCCCCACTAGGCCCACCACTTGTCCTCCAGCCTCTGCCACCCAGAAACCTGAGCCACACACACTCAGGTAGGACTTGGTGATGTCAGCCATGTCAGTGTGCAAACATGTAGACACATAATTCTTCCAGGGATAACTAGCAAGGAACCGCAAGAATCCAAGCAGGAAGAAGTTACATACAACAGCCAGGAGCCAGGATCCAGACACCAGGACTACGGCAAGAGGCACCACAACTAAGAGCAGGAGGGTCCGGGGCAGCAGCAGCAAGTGGCGGAAGGCATTGGGGATGTGCTCCTCCAGGCCCCTGGAGAACACATCCACGACCTGCTCATAGTCTCTCTCCTGGAACTGGCGAATGTGAAAAGAAGCCATGGGAAAACTTTGTCTCAAGTCTCAGCATCCACAAGAGACACTCCAATCTGCTTGTATTACTTTCTTATAGCCCTACAGGAGCCAGAAGAGGGCAAATGAGTTTCCCAAACCTCCACTCACCACCCAGGTCCAGCCTCCAGACTCACAGGTGCTCATTTCCACTGTCACCCGGGAGGGAGCAGAACACCAACACTGGGACACAGTGTTGGTTTTCAGAACACTATACCCTGACTCCTCCCTCTCTGAGCCTGTGTGCCTTTACAGCACCGTAAGGTGACACCTGGTTTCTAGGGTAATGTTGAGGATTTACTACGGCAAGCTTGATACAGCACAGGCACACCCAGGCCCCTTCCACCTCTCCAATCTTCAGCATTTTGTGATGGTACCTCGTGGAAGGAAGATGTGCTGTCCCCAGCTGCGTTTCCTCTTCAAGATTGATAAATTTCAGAATCCCATGCTCCCATGGCAGGTGTCAGCAAATATTCCCCTAGTTAGAAAGATTCAATCCACTAAGAAGCAAAGGTCAAGCCCCAAAGCACACTACCCTTGAGCACCCAGAAAGGCTGTGGGATTCTAGACCCAGAGAGAAACCAACCTTGTCTCTCTGTCCTCTTACCTGCTGCCACAGTGGAGTGTCCAGGATGACATCTGGAACCTGCAAAGACAAGTTCCACCTCGGGGAACAGAGCCAGGCTGGTGCCCTATTGGCTGGCTCCTGGGTAATCATAAACCAGAGTCGAGAGCTGGAATGTAACAGGAGAGAGCCTTTGTCCATTCACTTTGCCTTCCCGTAGGGTTAGCATGGTCCTTAACCTGTGAAGGCTGCTATCTCTCTTCCCGATTTCTTCCTGTTACGCCGTCCTGCCTCTAGCCTGAGACACACCTGTTAGGTGAACCTTGGGACAGTGTAACTCACCCTGGGCTCACATGAGTAGAGGTCTCATTGGCTGTCACCTGGATGTTTGATAATCATAAACCCGGGGTGAAGAAGCTGGATTGTGACAAGGTAGGAGCCGAAGTCCAGCTAATTTTGTGATCCCCACACAATGAACCAAGAAGGGAAAGGGGGATCCAGGACGGCCCCAGGTTCCTCACCTTCGTGGGAAGCTGCCAGTCATCTCCTTGTTCCTTTCAGCCCACAGCCTTTGTCCTGTCACACTTGGTCCTCTCTGATGCCCATCTTGATATCTACATGCACCTGCTAGGAGGAAACTAGAAACTGAACCACTTGTTTTGACCTCACTTGTCGAAAGCAAGAATCCAGGTCTATGGGCTCAGAAACAAGAGCCTTATTCCTGAGTGTCTCCCTCCCTCCAAGTTTTGCCTGCTCCTTGGCCGTGGGTCCAAGTGGTCCTCACTGACCTTCTGCCCACTTTCTCCCCAAGAGGCCCTCACTCAATCACCCCTCTTTTTCAGTCCAGCAGATGACAGACTTGGACAAAGGGTATCTTGCATGAACTCTAAGGGTGCCCAGAGTTTGAACATCACATTCCATCCCCCCCTCTGCGGGCACACAGCACTGTTTAAAATGTGGGCTGTGTAGAGATGGTGTACAGGTTAACAATTTCAGATATTTAATGTGAGAGTTAAAAAAAAAAGTTCCACCCACTGGAGACAAGTCTTATTCAAACCATCACTGCTGATGAACTTTGGTTTTTATCTTAAAGGAAATTAAAACACATTAAGAAAAAAAACAACCAGAAAACCAGGTCAAGCTGAAGGGTAGGACTTTGTGGGATTTTCCTGCCCTCTGTCTCTCGTGTACTCTGTTCATGGGGTTTCTTAAAACCCAGTAGTGTAACTCCCCAGGCAACTGGAAGGTGGAGTGGACTGTGGACTTTTCCGTTTTCTAGTGTGAGCCTCCTCCCACCAATGCTCTCCTGGTACAGTCAAAGCTGTCGCTTCCTAGTTCCCTCTGACTCGGCATCCCAGGTTGGGCCAGTGACCTTTCACTAGTCAGTCTTAAGTTCATTTGTACTTTATGAGGGCAGGCAGTGTGCATTTGCCATCTTAAAATGGTTCAGGCCCAGGGATACCAGGTTGGTGGAGATTCAAGCCATTGTGATCTCAGGTATCTGGTATCCCAAAGATATTGATGGCCTCTGGCAGCAGCATTACTGGTGACGCATACTAGAGAAGTTATGGTGGCAAGTGTGGATTCGGCTCCTCGTGGAGGACAAGGAGAAATCAGTCTAGTGGAGAAGGGGTGGGACCACCAAGGTCCCAAGAGACTTACCATCACAATTCAAGGTTGTTCTTGCCCGAGACAGTGTAGACCACCACTTATCCAACAACATAAGCACCCCAAGAGATAGAGGACCAGTGAGAACCCAAGAAAGCTTATATAGAGATGTAGTTGTAAGGCCACTGTTAGTATTTAGGCCTTTGCACTGGCCTGCCTTTGGAGTTCTGACAGGATACGCCCTCAGCTGCTGCCACTAAGAGTACCACCTGCCCACCTCTCTGTCTGTCTGTCTGCCTGTCTGTCTGTCTGTCTCTGTCTGTCTCTGTCTGTCTCTGTGTCTCTGTCTGTCTGTCTGTCTGTCTGTCTGTCTCTCTCTCTCCTTCTCTCCCTCCCTCCCTGTCTCTCCTTTTTTCCTTTCTCCTGCTGCTCCTGTCCCTGGAGCCAGTCTCCCCCCTCTCTTTTCCCTTCTTACAATCCTTTTTTCCTAATAAAAAACTCCTCTTCTTGAACTCTGTTGCATGATGTCTTTCTCTCTAGAACTCCTTTTTTAACTACAAGAGCCACCATGAGGTAAATATACTTTCGCCCAAAAATAAAAATGAAGAGAAGTCCATGCATCAAAGGGACAGGCACCCAGAAAGTGACGAAGGACCTCTGTGTATACAGGAGAGAGGGAATGCGTCATGGATGGGCTCTAGATACCATGAGTGTGTCCAGTAGTCCTGACAGTGCCCACAGTGGAGACCTAAGCTGTATAAAATAGATTTGGGTGGCTGGAGAGATGGCTCAGTGCTAAGATTATTGGCTTCTCTTGCCTCTGTGGGCAATTTATTCACATGGTACACAGACATAAGTATAGGCAAAGCACCCATACACATAAAAATAATGTTTGTTTTTAAAAGTAAGTTTGCAAGGCTGATAAGGCTCCAGAGTTTGGGTGTTGAGAGTCCTGCTCCCACCTATCTCGTTCAGGTGATTATGGGATGGACAGTTAATAGGAGTTCAATTTTACCTTGACTTCCACAGTTATCTTCCTGGGAGATTGTGATACTCTGGCAGGGCCTGGAGCTAAATGCAACAGAGATCTCTGTCTCTCCTTCTGGCCTGCACTAAACATCTCACCCATCCTCAAAAGGGAGCCCTAGCATCCCTTCCTCAGGTCCCTTCCTCACTCTTACCATGTGACCGCTCAGTTCATACTGCCGGCAGTGTCCACAGTAAGAAACTATGGGAGGATCTAAACCTCCCTCCCTTCCATGGTGTTAGAACGGCAAGCAGAGACTGACTCTCCAAATACAAGTCAAGTTCAAGTTCAGTGGGGACTCGCAGGGCATTGCAATTGCGTATGTGTGTTACGGCACACAGTGCCCCCTTTCCAATGGCTGGAGGAAATAAATAGGAGGATTACACAACACTCTTACATAACCTTTCTTGGCAGCAAAGATGGAAGTTGAGAGGGATCAAGGATCAGCCTCCAGAACACCACCACTCCCGCAGCGAACTGGGCAGAGGCGGTGCAAGATTAGGGTGAGCTTTTGGCAAGATGTGGCTCTAGTTGGGTCTCTGGTGAGTATTCGTAGCTTTGTGGCTCACGTCTCTCCTATGCAACCAACCAGCTTTCTTTGCTGACCCATTCATCTGGTGAGGAATCAACTGAGCTGAGTCTGGTAGATTGAGACAACTTGCACAACATTCCTGGGATTTACTGACCCATCTGTGTCACGTGCACAGTTGAGTGCAGTAGAGGACATTCACAGGGATGTGGGCTGGGGTGGGCTTTACTGCCTGTCCTACCTTAGTCCTTTCTGTCTGACCCTTGGTCTCAGTTCCTAGAGTGGAAGCTTCCAGCAAACTCCATCCAGGATTGGGACAGGAAGAAGCTGGCTGGACAGGCTTCCCTGCCTCCTGGCAGCTGATAAGTTCTTCCTGGCCTGAGTTTCTAATGATCTGGAGTTGAAGTCAGGTGTGCATTGGGGAGAACAGGACCCGCAAATAACCACCCTTGGGGAGTTTGGAATATCGAAGCATTAGCAGAGAGAGTGCAACAGTCCTATACTTTCTTACTGCTGCGAGCATCCTCACCCCAGACTCTGCTGAGCACTGAAGTTCACAGTTCATGGTTTCAGGTTGTCAAGGACCCATTAACTCTAGCCAGATTCCACATCTCCTGTGAAGTTATTATGCCAAATTTTGAGGCTCATTTTCTGTATTGAATCTTTAAGATCTGTGATACTAAAAAGGTTCAATCCAGTTTTATCTTTTACTGGTTCTGACCCCCAAGTGGGTCTTTTTTTTTTTTGCCTCTTGGAATTGTGAAACAGATATGGGTGTGTGTCAACTGAGCAGTCAAGGAACTTGCATTTTGAGCATTTACCCTTCTGAGAAATACTGTTTGATTTCCCGATTTATGGTCTGACATTAGGACCTATATTGCCCATGCCTCAGACATCACACAGCCAAGAGGAATGATGAGATTGGAGCCTCGAGTTGAAGGAGATATAGACGTTACAGTGGAAGACATCAGGGTTCAGATCCACCTCTGGTGAGTGCCTTCAGCTCACAGGCCCCTTCTCTATATGCACAGTTGGAGAAGCAGCTCCCCCTGGCTCTAGGCTCTTGATACTGTTCCCCAGTCCCTAAAAACACAGCACACATGGGTTTGGTCTCTGGCTTTTTGAAATGATCTCCTTCTCCTTCTCCTTCTCCTTCTCCTTCTCCTTCTCCTTCTCCTTCTCCTTCTCCTTCTCCTTCTCCTTCTCCTTCTCCTTCTCCTTCTCCTTCTCCTTCTCCTTCTCCTTCTCCTTCTCCTTCTCCTTCTCCTTCTCCTTCTCCTTCTCCTTCTCCTTCTCCTTCTCCTTCTCCTTCTCCTTCTCCTTCTCCTTCTCCTTCTCCTTCTCCTTCTCTTTCTCCTTCTCCTCCTCCTCCTCCTCCTCCTTCTCCTTCTCCTTAAGAAATCAATTTAACCTTTTACACTGTAAAACTTTGCAGCATTTGGCTTGCTGACAATGTTTTTGTAGTGGGCATTTCTCAAATGCTAAATGTTCTCAGGACAGGTTCCGACCTGTGTTCTGACTGTGGCTCCTTGTTTTCTGTCTCTGTAAACTGGGGCTGGCCTGGGCTACCCCCAAGCTTTCAGCATGTTCTGGTCTGGATCTCCAGGTTTTGCCTCAGCTCTCCTGGCACAATTCCTATTTACCGCACTGACTTCTGCAGACTGAGGGACCACGGAGCCTTCCTGCTGCTCTTAACCCACCATGTGACCCCAAACACAGTCTCCCCATGTGCACACGGGTGCCAGACCTGAACAGCAACGGCTCCCTCTATCCATCCTTCAGGAAGAGCTGAGCTGGCCATACTGGACTAAGATTTGGTCCCAGACCTCTTGGAGAATGTGCCACCCAAACAACCTGGAAACTGATCTCATGTTTCCACAAAAACTCAAATAACTTGCCTTGAGTACAGAAGATGCTTTGTATCCTCTTCTGGGTTGACCAGACTGTCATGATGAAAGTTGAAGAAAGGAATGCATTTGTGTTCAAGAGCTGACAATCCCCCATCTCTGCTCTTGAAGAGTCCAAGCACACTTGTCCCGCTCTAGGGACTGTGGAGCTCGTTCCCTGGCCTCTGAAGTTCCCAGAGAACTTCACTGAGGGTGAGGGGAAGGCCACTTTGTCCCAACCAACTCCCAAGAACCTGAGAAGCTGTGGTTGCCACCCGTAGACTCTAAGGCTTAACGGAGGGAAGATGCATAGTCAGGGTCTCCTCCAATGAGTCTCTTGTCGTCTCCCGCTGTGTCTCCGGAACTTCCTTTCAGGCCAAAGATGCCTGAGTTATTGGGGAATCTGGTGCAGTAAAAAGTATCAACTCACGGGGGCGCTCTTCCCAAAGAAACGAATGGCCCTTCCTGCGGCTCCTGCTCTGGGATGCCAGCGTGGGAAAAACTGTTTCCTTTTGCATTTTTCTCGGGAAATGCTTTTAATCTTACCTTTATTTCCAGACGAGGAATAGGCTTTAAGAT